ACACTGATAATAATAAATCAGCATATTAGAATGATTTCTGAAAGATCATGTCTCTGTCATGTCTGTTTACGCAGCGCGTGCCATTTCAAGCGGAAAGGATCCTGGCCTGCAAGGCCGGGACTTCCAGGTTATAAAACCTTGTGAATGTGGACGGCGAGGCCCAGCCGGTCGCCTCACAAATATCCGTAATGGACACGCCACTGGACCATGCCCAAGACGAGGCGATGCCTCTAGTCCAGGGGTAGGCAAGTTCGGTCCTAGAGAGCCGCAGTCCTGCAGAGTTCAGCTCCAACCCTAATCAAACACACCTGAACAAGCTAATCAATGTCTTCAGGATTACTAAGGCTATAGGTAGGTGAGTTTTTTTTTTCAGGGTTGGAGCTGACCTCTGCAGGACTGCGGCTCTCTAGGACCGAACTTGCCTACCCCTGCTCTAGTCGAATGGGCCCGTACTCCAATGGGGCATTGAAGGCCCAAAGAAGAGTACGCTAGATGGAGTCTACTACCCATCTCGAGAATCTTTGCTTCGTGACTGGAAGCCCTTTGGTGCGGTTACCGAAGCTGACAAAGAGTTGTTCCGACCATCTATAAGGGGCGGAACGCTCAATGTAAATTCTCAGAGCTCTGACGGGGCAGAGCAGAGATAACTCTCTGTCCTCTTCAGAGGGAGAAAGCGCGGAGAGCGTAATGGCCTGTGCTCTGAACGGAGTGGAGAGCACCTTAGGTACGTAACCGTGCCTTGGTTTCAGGACGAATTTAGAGTCGTTAGGCCCAAATTCCAGGCAGGCAGGGCTAATGGAGAGTGCCTGCAGGTTCCCTATTCGCTTTAGCAATGCCAGTGCCAGAAGCAGAGCAGTCTTCAGCGATAGTGACCGAATGTTGGCAGACTGTAGCGGCTCGAAAGCAGGGCCCTTCAGGGCCCTCAGTACAGTGGGTAGATCCCATGAAGGGACGGTTAGGGGACAAGGCGGATTCAGCCTCCTAGCGCCCCTTAAGAAGCGGATAACCGTGCTGTTTCTGCCCACCGATTGGCCCGCAATAGGGACATGAGAGGCCACTATAGCCGCTACATAAACTTTGAGCGTGGATGGGGAGCGTCCCTTATACAGCAGCTCTTGCAGAAATGACAACACCTCTGTCAAATCGGAAGTATGAGGGTCTTTGCCACGGTTTAGACACCAAGCTGAGAAAAAAGACCACTTAAGGGTGTAGAGGCATCTCATAGACGGGGCTCTAGCCTCCGAAATTGTGTTCAAGACTTGCTCTGGGAGGCTCGAAGGCTCCCGTCGAGCGGCCAGACGTGCAGGGCCCACAGATCGGGCCGAGGATGCCATATTGTCCCATTCACTTGAGAGAGGAGATCCCGTCTCAACGGAATGGGCCAAGGGGCGGCTACCAACAGCTGAGTCAGCTCTGATAGCCACAGCTGGTTCATCTAGAGGGAGGCCACCAGGAGAACCTTGTATTTTTGTTCCCTTACTCGCCTGATTACCTGTGGGATCAGGGCGATCGGGGGAAAAGCATAAAGAAGGAAGTTGGGCCAATCGTGGGCCAACGCGTCCATGGTCTTTGAGACCATCCCCATGGTCACGCCCTGTTCCATCCAGCGGGAGCTCTTCCAGGGGTCCAGGGCTGTTACACAGGCCTGACTCACCCTGTTCTGTAGGCGTCCGTGACATGGGATGGAACCCGTGGTTTCAACCAGCGCTGAAGGGGGCGCATACGAAGCAGACCCAACTGTAGGGCTGGCGATGCCGCCACCAAGAGGCCCAGCATCCTCTGAAACGTGTTGAGAGGGCGAGCGGTACCAATCTCGAAGGAGGTCGCCAGCCTCCATATGGCCAGAGCCCGTTCCGGCGCGACTTCAGCTCTCATTTGGGCTGAGTCGAAAATTGTTCCCAGGAACGATATTCGCTGGCTGGGGAAAAATGCGCTCTTGGCAAAATTGACCCTGAGTCCCAGGCACTCCAGATGGCTAAGGAGAAGGGTCCTGTGTGATATTAGCTCTGCCTCTGACTGGGCCAGAACGAGCCAGTCGTCGAGGTAGTTGAGAATGCGGATTCCCATCTGTCTCAGAGGGGAGAGAGCCACGTCCACGCACTTCGTAAAAGTGAGGGGGCCAGGGACAGCCCGAAGGGAAGAACCGTGTATTGATAAGCCACTCCCTCGAACACGAATCTCAAGAATCGCCTGCAACGGGGGGCTATCTGGATGTGAAAGTATGCATCCTTCAGGTCCAGACAGTCTCCTGCTCAAGAATGGCCTGTGACGAGGGGCTATCTGGATGTGAAAGTATGCATCCTTCAGGTCCAGAGAAAAGAACCAGTCTCCTGAGCGAATTTGCGCAAGGATCTGTTTCAGTGTAGTCATCCTGAATGACCTTTTCATGAGGGCGTGATTCAGGCGTCTGAGATCGAGGATGGGCCGGAGGCCACCATCTTTTTTGGGGATGAGGAACGTGAGCGTCCTTGCTTTGCACTAAGGTGGGGACCATGCCGCTGAAGCGCGGGGGTCTTCGAGCGAATTGGAGTGAATATCCTCGTTTTATTATCCCCATAACCCATCTCGACACTCCGGGGATGGCCTGCCAGGCCTCGGCCCGTGTAGCGAGGGGTTGAATTAACTCGTAGTGAAATCTGGCCCCATCCTCTTCCTGTCTCGCAGATCAGGAGGACGCCTGAGGCGCCGGGTTCAACGCAATCTTGGGTTGGGGTCCCTGGCAGTTAGGAAGAGGGTAGCGTCTGGCCGAGCGAGAGTGTCCCCGTGTCTGGTGCGCCTTAGCGGGCTGAACGGCGGGGGTGGCAGGTGCTGGCTTTTCTGGCTGCTGAGTCGGCGCAGACTTAGGGCGACCAGAGGCAGCAGCTTAGGCAGGAAATGTCGCATAGCTTGGGACAATTTCTGTGCCTCCGTGAAGCGCTCATCGAATCCTTTGACCGCCGGTCCGAAGAGACCTTTGGGAGAGACTGGAGCATCGAGATCTCTTGATCTCTGTTAACGTCAGCCATAAATGGCGCTCGAGTACCACAAGGCTGGCCATCAATCTCATGGTCTTGGTGGCACGCAGAGCCAGGTCGGTTGCGCTCCTCAGCTCCCTGAGGGTCGCAGGGTCCAGGCCAGACTCGTCTGAGGAAGCGAGGATCTTAGCTTGAAAGACCTGGAGGACCGCCATTTAATGAAACGCCGAAGCCGCCTGTCCAGCTGAAGTGTAGGCGCGTCCAGCGAGAGCTGAAGTGGTCCTACACGGCCTGGACGGTTGCAAGGGTTTTTGCTCTCCAGCCGATAGCCGTGGGCGGGCAGAGGTGCGCAGCCACAGACTCATCCAGGGAAGGCAGCTTATTGTACCCCTTCTCTTCAGTGCCGTCGATGGAAGTGAGGGCGGATGAAGTAGAAGTACGAAGGCGGGCGGAGTAGGGAGCACGCCACGATCTGGTGAGCTCATCATGGACCTCCGGGAAGAACAGAGAGGAAGACTGACGAGGGGCTTGGCGGCGCCCCGGCAGGAACCACTCATCCAGATGGCTGCCGCTCGCAGCTGGTCGCTGGAGTCCTCTGCCCCGCTGTTTATTCCTCACAGGTCCCTGGGAGGAAGAAAACGGGAGGGTGCGAGGGGCGGAGCCGCTCTCTGAAAAGAAAGCGATCCGCGAGCGGAGAGAACAATCAGTTCCCGTGAGCGCAGCTTCCGCATGGGATTTCCCCAAGCAGGAAACGCACTCCGTGTGGTCGTCATCGGCGTGCAGGGGAGACCTGCACGAACCGCAGTAACGGCGCAGCATTTGCAACAGCGCCAAGCTCTTTTAGTAAGCTCTTTTTAGAATCGCCAGATGGCGGCAGGGGAAAAGGACCGGAACTGCTGCGTCGCTGAAGCGGCGGAGAAGCAGGTAAGCCGTGCTGAGAGGTCCCGATTCCAGCTGGGAAGGCGTGTCAACGGCGAGCAGGCTTCGGATCAGCGTAGAGACGTAGTAGTAGTCGTTGCTGAAGGAGAAGAAATCTGAGAATCCTTCTTCTTCTTCTTGCTGAGAGGTCCCGATTCCAGCTGGGAAGGCGTGTCAACGGCGAGCAGGCTTCGGATCAGCGTAGAGACGTAGTAGTAGTCGTTGCTGAAGGAGAAGAAATCTGAGAATCCTGTGGCGAACGCCCGCTTATATAGCCAGATGCACCGCCCATTCTGGCAGGCTTTGGCGCCATAGGCTCATGCATCTCCGCTGCCGAGCCATTGGTTTGTTTTTTATACACTGCACGAACCAATTGGCTGTACAGTTTCACTGCGTGTTTGAAAAAAGGCTTCAGTTCAGGAGAAAAAAGGCTTTTCCCCAAAGCGTCTTAGCAGACGCAGTACGAGTGTAGTATCGAAAGTGAACCACTATTTTAAATTGTAATAATATTTTACAATATTACATTTTCTTTCTGTATTTTTGTTTATTGTTCAAATAAATGCAGCCTTGATGAGCATAAGATACTTCTTTAAAAAACATAAAAAATCTTATATATATTTGACAACACTTTAGATTAGGGAACACATATTCACTATTAACTAAGCGTTTTTGCTCAATTAACACCTAATTACTGCTTATTGATAGTAAGTAAGGTTTGTAGTAGTTATGTTTGAGTTATGCTTAGGTATTGGTAGGGTTAAGGGATCTAGAATATGGTCATGCAGAATAAGCACTATTAACTAAGCGTTTTTGCTCAATTAACACCTAATTACTGCTTATTGATAGTAAGTAAGGTTTGTAGTAGTTATGTTTGAGTTATGCTTAGGTATTGGTAGGGTTAAGGGATCTAGAAATGCAGAATGCAGAATAAGGCATTAATATGTGCTTTATAAGTACTAATATACAACCAATAAGCAACTAGTTAATAGTGAATAGTGTTCCCTAATCTAAAGTATTACCCATATATAATTATAATTTATTTTTACCTAAAATGTGTATCTATTTTTACTGTTTAGTATTGTGTGAGTTTAGCGATGTGTTTAGCTTTCCGAGTTTAATCTTTTGTACCTTCTCCTGCATTGTATGCCAGTATGGCTCGTGTTCTCATCTGCTTGCCCTCGGCGGTTTTGCTGGAGCAGGTCTGGGAGCAGGTGGACCATTCGGTCCAGAGACTGAGAGCGCAGTCTTTAGGGCAGGGAACCACACAGGGCACAGATGAAGGGTAGACCTCATCCACACACATCTCCTTCTCCACCTCTGTACCTGAAGCACAAAACATTTGTGGGTTTAAAACATGTTTCAAATTCATTAAGCACCATTCACATGATTATTTTTACTGTACATGCTGTAAAACTGATACATTGATGCATCTGAAGAATGAGCTGATGAAAATATTTATAACCATGAAGGTATTTAAGCTAAATTGTTAAACAGTACTTAAAAATAAATACAGTTTCCCAGGGGATCTTGACCAACATCCACATACAAATTCATAATTTATGTAATAGTATCATCTGGTGTAAGTGTATTTGATCTCACATGTAGGTTACACACTGTACAGCAGACGGAAGAAGCTAACGTAACATGTCAAGCACATGTCTGGGTTATAATTCATGTCAAATTTCAAAAGAAGCAAGAAGGCAAGACAATCAAGCCTATTTTTAAAACTTTTTAGATTTTTTGCATGCATTAATTGCATAACAATTATGTAAATTTTTCTCCCATAATTATTGCAATAATACTGTAAATGCAATAAAATCTCTTTAATGCAAAAAAAAGAATCACAATTCTTATTTATTCATACACCAATGTAGAATTTATTGTATTGCCTTTGATTTTTGATTATTAAACATATAAAATATTACAATTTTAAATATTAAATTAAACAGATTAAAAATATAAAATATTAAAACATAACAAGATTAAAGTGAACATTAAGTAAATATAAAATATACTAAATATTAATATATTAAAAAAGTATTACTTTAAGAATAGAATATTGTCCAAAAAAAAAAAAAAAAAGAAAAAAAAGCTCAGGAGAATCACCATTGAGAAATAAGGGAGGTACCAAAAAACATCCAGATGCATTATGGTAATGAAAATGATGGCGTAAAATGTTCTTAACTGTCATGACAATAAACGTCACAATTCAAATTATGTTAATGGCCCAACAATTAGGCAACATTTTCTTTATGCAAAATATGATTCACCCAGACAAGCTTTTAATGCATTTTAAACCACTCTGTTGTCCTATTTTGTAACAGTGCCATCCTAAAAACTGGAGAAAGCAATCATACAGATGGTTCTGAAGGACGGGCAAAAACAAAACATGTGCAATTGTTGTCAGCGTGTCTGTGTTTGGCAGCGTTCATTACAACGCACAGCCTCTCTCAAGGGTTGTTATCAAATCTTTTACTTTGAGCCAAATCTGATGAGTATCAGCTTGGTTTTGGCTTTAGCTCAGTGACACGCTGCGGAGAAAAAACAAAAAAAAAGCTCTCTGCTTGAGCACTGAGCCACAAACACCCAATAAATATTTCCATCAAAAGCAGGGACACTCCAAGTTTTCCTTGTAGCAGACAGCGATACAATATTTACATCGATCTGTGTCAGAACCGTGGCCATTTGTGAAGTAATATTGTACGTGTCACTCGCCGAGACAGTCAGAGTGAAGCAGATGCCAAGTCTGGCTGTAAAAAAACAACTAGCAGATAAATTTTAATCAGTGCGTGATGGAATCAATCTGCCACAGCGTGCGGCTACAGAGAGGCATTCGATTGCTCACGCGACAGATGCTAGAGAACATTATTGCATGTTATTATTATTTCATAGACGTCATATCACATGGCCACACAGCAGATTCTAAATGACAGGGGTCACGTGACATTAAGGGATTTCTTGAAAACAACAGATGTTTCCTAGTAGAAGCTGTGATGGTTTATCTTTTCAGACTCTCCATAAATATACTGAGCCCACATATGGCAAAATTGTGAGAAATTACATCTGCAATTTCTGGAAGCATCCACTGTTACGTCCATTATGGTCCTCAGATATTTTTAGACAAGTCTGACAGAAAAACAAGCTCTTTTTACCAGCATGCCTTGAAACCAAGGGTTTACAAGCTACCAGGTTACTACAATGAGCACTTTAGAGGATTAGCCAAATTTTCCAACAATGAATATTGAATACTGAATATTTTGAGTTATGTCTATTGCTTTGGTATCAGCTATTGCAGATAAACCTGCTCATAAAAACAGTTCAGTTATATCAGTTATACGGTTCTTGGCCAGAGAAAACTGAGAAATGATTATTTTGAGATCTCATGCATTTTTAGATATGAAAACTGACCATCAAGCATTACTTTTTCCCAAATTTATGACAGTTTTCCCAGATCAATTGCACAAAAATAATGCAAGAAGCTGTCAACTTTGAGAACATGGAGTATTTATCAGGACTAACAAGGTGTTTTAGACTTGAGAAACAGGGGTGACAAGTTGTCAGACGTGTCAGAAGACCGTGACCCTGTCAGAACGCCGTGACCCTGTGTCTGTCAAAACATTGCTCTGTTTGTTTTAGCATCCTGACACAGCAGTCAATGGTTGTGAGCTCATCTGTTTACTCGGCCAATGGCAGACAGTGTGAAACCTGTTTGAAAACAATCATTATTTCATGTGGAGTCTCTGCTGTGGTGCAGAAATGACATATGTCACCTTTAACTACATGCTGTCAGTAAGTAATAAGACAATAATTTAAGTTTCACCTAACTTACAAAGTAGCATTTTTAAAATTACTTTCAACAATATAACATAGCACTGATTTCTCTATTTTTGATTTGGGCATTCAATTTGGGCATTCAATGAATCATTCAATTCATTCCAGTGAGGAAGTGAGTCATCTGACCAATTCAGACTGCTACATTCGATTCAAACGATCCATTAAAAAAAGAACCACACCAATCAAATCTGACAGCACATTGTGAATTTCATGACATAAGATAATAAAATGCCAAACCAAATACAAGACCTTTTCTCAGAACGAGATTGACCTATTAAAGACATTTTTTGCAATTATTACACCAAGCTGATTTTAAGTGTCAGTTTGCCAATATAGACTACCATTTAAAAGTTTGTGGTCAGTGAGATTTTTATTTTTTTTAATTTATTTTTGTTTTGAAATAATTAATGCTTGTATTCAGCAGGGACACATTCAACTGATCAAAAGTGACAGTAAAGATATTTATAATGTTACAAAAGACTTTTATTTCAAATAAATGCTGTTCTTTTGAACTTTCTATTCATCAAAGAATCTGAAAAAAGTTTATTGCAGTTTCCACAAAAATATTAAACAGCACTACTGTGATAATAATGAAAAATGAGCTTCAAATCAGCATATTAGATTGATTTGTGAAAGATTTCTGAAGACTGAAGTAATGATGAGCTTTGATCACAGGAATAAATTACATATTACAATATGTTTAAAGAGAAAACAGTTACACTGTAAAAAATTAGTGTAATTTTAACTGTAAAATATTGTAAAAACGCTATGGGAAAAAAAAGTTAATATGTTAACAGGAAGTTCCCGTACTATATACAGGGAAAAACTGTAAAAGATCTAAACAGACATTTAATGTAATTTTACAGTAAAATGCTGTTAATTGTACAATTTTTAGAAGTAAAAAATAACAAATCAACATATTATTTACAGTAAAAAACTGTAAACTAATATTACCAGAATTCCCAGCGTGACACTCCACATTTGAAAGTATTTTGTATAAATAATCATGTTTCTTAATAGTTTTGTGATGTTTGTTATCAGTTATGTACATGTGGGTTTTATGTTACATCTTCTGTTGTTTAATGAATGTTTATTGCATTATTTAAGTGTTGTGTATGTTACCATGATGGTGTTTAGTGTTTGCATGAATGACTCTGTGTCTTCTATATATTAGTATATACTTCAGCTTGTGGAAAAGCTACTTGTGATGAACTGATTCTTCATATTGCCTTTTACCACCTGCATTATTATGGTGATTGTCAATTTATGTTCAAGATACAAAACAGATTTTAGTAGCAGTGTACATTGTTGAATTTACTAGTTTACACTCAAATTGTCTTGTTTGTAAATTACAGTTTTATACTGTAAAATCTACAGTTTGTTCTGTAAAAGTTTTTACAGTTTTTCTGTTTTTCATGCAACCACAGCTGCCAATATTATTTTGTAAAAACTACAGATTTTTTACAGTGTAATATTATTGCAATTTTAAGTGCCTGTTTTCTATTTGAACATATTGTAATATGTAATTTATTCCTGTGATCAATAAATCAAATAAATGCAGCCTTGCTGTCGTTGAAGAGGACAATTTACCAGCTAGTGCAAGTCAAATATACAAGTGTCTCTCCAGGCACGGCTGAGATTGTCTTTATTGAGGAGCTGAGCTGTAGGAGGACACGATCACCATTAGCAGCATGTTTACACTCCTCTGCTCTCTGCAGCATTAACCCTGTAAAGAGCTCCAGCTGAGAAATGTTCAGGACACATCAGCTGAGAGACGAGATACGGCTGCCTTCCACCAGGATAGTGTTTGAATTCCCAGAGGCTAATTACTGGATTCAAAATCAATCCTGCTTTTTAAAGACATCCACCACAGAAGCCTTCATAACACAAGTGAGAATCTACTGGCCTGCTTTTGCGGTATAATCATCTGGCAAGCTTCACGCAAGAGATTATTTTTGCATTTTTGGAAAAAGACCACATGCTCCAGTTGCAGTTTTCTTAAGCCCTATTCGGATTGGACTAGTTTTTCCTTAGGAGGTTTGACAGTTTCATAGATATACGTGATTGTAATCCAGATTGAATTAAACATGATTCATAATGCATGCATTAACAACATCAATACAGAGATCCCAAACCCTTCTGAATCAACACATGATGATGTACACCCTTAAAAGGAACTTATCGTTAACCAATTGGTTTTTACTGCAGCAATTTTACAGTCTTTAGCTGTTAAAATTAGGATCTTTTTTACAGTGTAAACCTGACCTGAGCAGTATTTAATACCTTCGCTGTTGATGCAGCGGACCTGTGGAGTCTGCGTTCCCTCTCCACAGTCCATGTCTTCTTCAGGGATACACTCCTCTAGCTTGACTAGCTGCCAGCTAAAACAGCTGGGATCATCACACGGGATGGCCTCCACCAGATGAGGACAGTTCCCCTCGCCACCCGTGGGGTAATTAGTGATTGTACGTCGTCTGAACTTGAAACCTGCAAATAAGCGTGACAGAAAAGGTTTATTAGTTAGGTCCATACATAGAGTGAACACTTACTGTAAGTCAGACTTAAAATGTCACTGGAGTAGGACAAAATATTAAACTAAGTAGCATCTAATGTCATTTTCAATGACATTTTCAATGACATTACACCCAATTACTTTTAACCAACTTGTCCTAGGGCGATTTGTGGTGGAAGTGTGTGACCTTTCGTTGAATCTATTTTTTAGGGTGGATCTTACAAAACTCTCAAGAACATGTCCAATTCACATTTCAGTCCAAAAGCAAAGCAAAGTTAAAAAAATAAAAATTCTAAATCATTAAATAAATAATTTAATAATAATAATAATAATAATAATAATAAATTATATTTTTAGGACCTTTTGTGCATTGATATATTTTATTAAAAAAAATTTTTTAGCAAAAAAAAAGTACTCAGTACTGTTCTCAGTACTCAGTACTGTTCAAAAGAGTAATCCACAAAAATAAGAATATATTAATATTTAAAAGTATTTCAAATTATAATTTAGTTGTTCTGTTACCTTTAAATAAAATAATTTAATTAAAGGCAAATCATGTAATACAGCATTTTCCACTATGATGCATGTATAACATTACGGGAGCAAATGTGTTTAACTATTATTAAAATAATGTTGCAATGTAAAAATATCTTAATGGCATTAAAAATTGACCAATTAGTCAAATTTATATATAGAGGCAAAGTTCAGTATATTTAAACTTCTATTATTGATCTATTTTGCTTTTTGTTTTTCAAAATATAATATAATCAGTGTACAGTAGAGAAATATTAAGACATGTTTGAAACGTGATTTCTGCTGATATGCCGTAATGCAGCATCTTGGACAAATTATTTATGATAATGGTTAAATCAAAAGGAAATATTCTATTCTGTGCCTCAGTATAATATTGTGTCTCAGTATTTGACACTTCCTTTTCAGTGAATATATTATTGGTTTCAGTCATGTTTACCTTTCTTCACGACGCGTTCATCGCAATTCTCACAGGTGCAGGGCCCCCAGGCGCCCCACGGGGACACTTCACACTCCACAGGGCACGGGATTTGACACAGCTGCGTGGTACTCAGAGTCGTTCCCTTGCAGAGCAGAACGTCGACGGGTTTCAATGCTATAATGCAAACACATGCATTAAAACACTGCAATAAGACTCCCACATGAGCACCACACATGACGGACAATTAGGTTTATGTAACTGCAGGAAACAACAAATGGCAACATTAAACACGTTCCGAAGAATCCTGATTCCCTGTTGCATCACGGCAAAGGAAAAACAGGAGAAAACCGGAATCTCCACAGATTTCTGCATAATTTGAATGCACGTGTTTGTTTTTTACATATTTGAACTAATCTGATAACGTTCCCAGTTATCAATAATCAAAAATATGAGATATAAAATAATGACAATAATAAAAGAAAAATTTATGACAAAAATGAAATAAATTAAAATAATAAACAAAATAATTAAAAAAAAAATGTTTTTAAATAAGGCAATATCATTGTATTTTTCATTCAGTTTTGAGATTTTGGGAACTTTGGTTTTTTATAACACGTTTCAGAAGAACTAGTGGAAAGAAAACATCCAAAATATATTTTCGTCTGCCCATTTTAATTACAATACATACAGTGGGTACGGAAAGTATTCAGACCCCCTTTCTGAATACTTAGGACCATGTGATATTTCAGTTTTTCTTTTTTAATAAATCTGCAAAAATGTCAACGATTCTGTGTTTTTCTGTCAATGTGGGGTGCTGTGTGTACATTAATGAGGAAAAAAAATTAACTTAAATGATTTTAGCAGCAATATGCAATATAACAAAGAGTGAAAAATTTAAGGGGGTCTGAATACTTTCCGTACCCACTGTATATTTAAAGTTTGTTTTCTCAAAATGTGATTTTTTTTTCTTCTGCTAGAAATCTCCACTTGGGTAACACTTAATCCTAAAAACATGGAGAAAATGTATTTTAATTCTGGCTGTTGACAGTATTTTCTGATATATCGAGTTTAAAAAAAACCCACTTGTAATACAAAAAATGTTTGCAGTTCTTAAATGTAATGAAATGGGGAAGTATTGTAATATATTAGTTACATTTTTTACCCTATTCACCTGAAATAAAATAAAATAAAAATGTGATATCTATTACTTACTTTAAAATAAAGATTGAACACATACACACACACACGCACATTACATAGACTTCTATTGTTTTTATATACAGATAGTTACACACTTTTTAACCTAAACCTACCCCTCACAGAAAACTTTCTGCATTTTTACAATTTCAAAAAAACTTTGTTTACTTTATTTTTATACCAATTTTACAAATGAGGATGTCCCCAAATGGAGGTTTTTGGCGATTTTGTCAGGTTTTGCTCACTTTTGGGTACAAATTTGTCCACACACACACACACACACACACACACACACACACACACACACACACACACACACACACACACACACACACACACACACACACACACACACACACACACACACACACACACACACACACACACACACACACACACACACACACACACACACACACACACACACACACACACACACACAAAATCAATCTAAAATAGTCCTCTCAGAGGAATAGTCCTCAAATGAGTGTAGAAAATGCAAGCCAAGTCTGTAGATCCTGTCTGGACCCAGTATGTGTGGAAAAGAACGGTAAAACACAAATTCAAAAACGGTGCATTAATGTTTTAACACAGGATTTTCCTGTCGGCTTGATGGGTGACAGGTGACATGACTGCTGCGTTTGCATCAAAGCGAGGTAAACTCTTCTCGTAGAGCTCTCCATGCTCATATGTGGTGCGTTCTGCTCACTAGAGATTTCCAAAACAAAATGCTCTCCACACACACAAATTGTCAACTAAAAAATCACAAGAAGATTGACTGCGCCACAGACCTTCAACAAAAAGAATTGATTGAACTCTGGAAATGGGCATGGGGAATGACAGTTCACCTCGTTCAGCTCTTCTGGTGCTGCATGTTCCCAAAATTAATGAAGAGACAGATTTCAGTGTAATGCACCATCATCTAAGTTAACATAACACAGCACAGGTTGTCCTTGTTTACATGCCAGATGGTCTAGACCTTCTGCGCAAACTTTCTGTCTAATCAAAGTTTGCGGTCTGTGCCTGCTTTGACAAACCCAGGCGGACAGGCTTAGCTTCAAGCATGAGAATGATCTGTGATCTGGGTAGCTGTTTGAAAATAGATGAAAAACCTAACGTGGCCCTGCTATTTATTAATATACACTACCTGACAAAACTTTGGGGTTTGAAAGACTTTTTTTTTTCTGCTGTTATGTTATGCTCACCAAAGCTGCATTATTAAAAAAAACAGTAATATTGTTCAATTTTAAATAACTGTTTAACTATTTGAATATATTTTAAAATGTAGTTTATTCCTGTGATTGCAAAGCTGAATTGTTAAGCAGAATTTTAAAAGAAATCAGAAATCATTATAGCATGCTGCTTTGGTGCTCAATAAAAAATTATTATTGTCAATGTTAAAAACTTGCTGCTTAATATTTTTTGTTAACAGAACGTTTTAAAGAAAAGCATTTTTTGAAATGGAATTTTTTTGTAACTTCATAAATGTCTTTTGCTGTCACGTTTGATCAATTTACTGCTACCTTGCTGAATAAAAGTATTAATTTCTTTAAAAATAAATAAATAAATAAATACTGACCTCAAACTTTTGAACAGTGTAGTGCTTATCAACATATACACGATTAGCAAAAGAACTGCAGGCTAGGCTTTGCTCTGTGTTATAGAGCCCATGAAATCATAGGCAAAAGGGGCTAGTTTAAAAGGCCCAAATAAAACAAATACAAACCATTTTTTAATTTCTTTTGAAGAAGAGTGTACAGTAAGGAGCTGTCAGAATGACTGTCATTGTCAATCATTCTCTGTCAGTTGTCTGGTGCCCAAAGGATAGTGTTGACTAAGCACAGAGTGTTGCATCAGTATGTACCCTTGTAATGAGCTCTCCATGGACGCAAACACTTACAAAAATACAGAGAGTAAACAGACTAAGCAAACAAAATATGTAAACATGCTTTAAGCAAAGAGACCTGATCAAACAAAGACCATTATGTCACATACAAAAAGGAAAGAGGATAAAATAAAATAGGATAAAGAGGATAAAATACGTTTAATTAAAAATATAGAATTAAAATTAATATAACAATTAAATATATTACTAAATATAATTAAAATTATTAAATTTACTTAAATAAAATACACAATAAATATAAAAATGTAAATAAATAATACATTTAAAAATAAATAATAAATTTAAAATAAAATAAAATAATTATAATAAAATAAAATAATTATAATAAAATAAAAGTGCTGGTTTTACTTTCAAAGCAATACTGGTGTGTTTACATTCAGTTGAAAAATACCCAAAATATTCCTTTTTAGGGGGTTAAAAATCTTACCTGAGATCTCATAGCTGATAGACAGGAGGGGAGGGACACTAGGTATCTGGCTGTTTGGAGACTGACCTTCTACAAAACACACAAACTACTGCTAATAAACATCACTCAAGGGACAAATACAAATACTATCACTATGAGCTCTATACTGTGACTACTTCCAAAATATTACAGCTTTAAGGCATAAGCGTTAGCTTTAAGTATCATGAGCTGTGACGTCAAAAGCAGCAGGCAAGGTAAAATATATCTATTTGACCTTTTAAGAGTCCTTCAGAAAATACAATAAAATAACATCCATTTAATCACAATGCACAGGTACGTTTGATATAAAATCATTTTCTGTCATTCTGATGGACTGGGTTGTAAATTTTCCAGCATGCTCTACTCTTACCTGTCAGTAAAATATGAAAAACTCTTGTGTCTCTATTTAAATCTTTACTCACACCTCTCAGTCTACTTTCATATTTTATTTTCTCAAGTTTTCTTCACCAAATGCAATAGAACAGACAACTTATTTTTATATCTGTCAAAACAACAGAAAGCATTTTGAATTATCTGTCAATGTTTTTTACAATTTGGTAAGTGACAGAAAAATGTTCAGTTAATGCAACCTCTGGTTATGTCATTGACAGGCAGGGCCAAACTGCTCATGATAACCAGCCAAACCCATTGCTTTGTAATGCCATAAATGAATCGCATCCATCACATTTGGTTCCCCTATAAAGCATTTATTTTTTCCATAGTAGACTCCAAATATAGCTCTGTCCAATCAAATGTCATGGCAGTTTATTCAGCGTTCATCGCCTATTCAGCGAAAGTCATCGCCTTGACTTTCATTCAGACAGTAATGTGATAATGTGAGGTATAAGCTGGTTAGCTTTTACTTGTGCCCAGATCTCAGCCAGTCAAAAGCCGCAGGATTCCTCCTACACTCTCAAAATCAAGCGTCTTCAATGGATTTTTGCAGCACTTCAGCAAAGAACTCTCTTCTCATCAAGAATCATTTTGATTTTCTGCATCATATGGAACTCAAGGATACTCCTATGGCATTATATTAAATAAAAAATTATCTTACAGCATCACATGGACTTTGAAATGATTCTCTCATGGAATCAAATGGAACTTGTGAAGATTCACTTATGGTATCATATGGAACTTACAAAGATTCTATCAAATCAATTTGAACTTATAAAGATTCTCCTACGGACTCAAATGAAAATGAAAAGAAAAAAAAAATGCTTAAGGCATCATATGAAAGAGTCTCTTAGGAAATCAAATGGAACTCATAAAGATTTACTTATGGAGTCATATGAAATTTACAGTATAAAGATATATAGATTATAGAATCATGTGGAACTTACAAAGAATCTCTATGGAATCTAATGGAAATTATAAATTATCGCTTATGACTTGGTATAAGAAATATAAAAATTATTTTATATACAGTAATAAAATGGAACTCAAATTGAATGCATAATGATTTTATTATGGATTCAAATTGAACTTATAAAGATTCACTTATGGCATCATACACTCTAAAAAAATGCTGGGTTAAATATAACCCAGCGCTGGGTTAAAAAGGGACAAACCCAGCTATTGGGTTGTTTTGACCCAGCGGTTGGG